ACACAAACACTTATTGATGTAGAAGAGCGGTGGAAGAAGTAGAGTAACTGATAAGGTAGATTACAAAACAAAAAATCCCGGATTCTGATTAGAACATTTTCAAATTTCAGGTGAGGCACGCGACTTTTTCTTTTTTAAATGTTGCATCGAAGCCATATAAGATTACTTTTTATAGGCAATGCCAATAAAATGGACAACTCTACATGTACAAAAATATAATTTTTAATGAAAATGAAGGTAATAATTGGTGGATACATAGTGCATTTGAGTCTTTTGCTAGTTTTACAGCTCTAAGACAGATTCCATCATTGGTGACTCCTCAGGGCAAAATCCATTTGTGCCACAGGTACATATTTTCCATTTTAGTGATTAACAAAGATAGAAAGGCAAATTGAAACATGTGCTGCAGATATACGTTTAGGCCCTGTTCAGACGAGCGATTTTAGTGGCCCGACTGCTAGAAGCATGACTACTGAGTGAATGTTCACACACGGCGCTTACAGTGGCCCGACTCGTCTCTCTCCCACTTTTGGCTGGGGGAAACGGAAGCTACTGTCAGCTGTATATCTGCCTCGCTCCACGTGATGCCCTTTCATTGGTCGAATCCCTCTTCCAGCCAATGAGGCGCGCCATCACCATGAAAACGCAGTAGCTGTCGCCGTGTGTGCGGCCGCATAGCAACACATGTACCTCGAGTGGCTGAGCAATCGGGCGACTGTGAGGGTCTTGAGTCACGCCACAGGCCACAGCTACTACGTGTGTGCGCTTCTATTCACTTCCACTGACCTGGCAGTCGCGTTTCTAGCAGTCACGCCGCTAAAGTCGCTCGTCTGAACAGGGTCTAAAGGCTCTAACTGGCGGCCTCTTTGGTTGTTTACAAACGGGCCGCGGGCGAAGCGAACTGCCTCCAACTCTCGCCCTGTTCGCCCAGGATGCTTGCCGCGAATACATTTTGCGAACGGCGGGCTCTCTTAGTGCATTTTCATCGAACATCTTGGAAAAAAAATCGATCGGGCGGTGACTCAGATGTAAGAGGGAGAAAGGTTCGGAAATATGTTAGAGAGAAAAACAAAGATGTAGGCCTAAGGGGAGAGTGAGAAAGGTTCAAGGGAGGAAAAAACGAGAATGCGAGACAGAAGGGACAGAAAATAAAAGAGAAAAACAAAGAAAACTCCAAACCAGAGCCCTGGATCCCTCACCCGTGACCGTGGAGACGAGAGCGCCGCCCATTGCGAAAACCACCAGCAAGGGAGAGTACAGGAAGAGCCCGACCAGCGTGAGGCAGGAACACACCAGGCTCTCCAACGCGTAGACCTGGCCGACAGACATCGCCCATCCTACGAAGACCTGCCGACGACGCCCATGAGAAATGGGAGGGAGAGGGGGGGGGATTAGGTCTGTCGCTGGTACCGTCGTAAAGTGGCTCTGGTTCCGGTCATAAGGTACTAGCAGGAGTGGGGGGGGGGGGGTGACGGTGCTGATGGAGAATAATTATGGATTTATAAACTAGTAATACGAATAGCAGTAACCGCAATGATACTAATTATAAAGGTGTCGAGTACAATAACAATGGCTCTTCAAACATCCGAGCTTTCATCACCTCTCAATATAAACAACAATAATAAATATAACAATAATTACAACAATAATCTTGATCTTCATGGTAATCAGGAAAAAAAAAATAATAAGAGAGAAAAAAAATAACAGTCACGTCCCTGGAGTCTGCGGTTTACCTGATCCCATTCAACTTCTGCGTCGCCGTCAGGAGTCCCAGCGGCCTCATCGGGCGGGACCCCCACCAGGCCGCGCCCTCGGAGGCAGATGAACACGATGCAGGTGGCGATGTTGAAGGGGAGGGTGAAGGGCGGCAGCTTGGTCGGGGCCAAGATGGCGGCCAGGCCTGACAGCAGACACACGCTGAAACAATAAAGATGATGATGGTAATGATAATGATACTAATTACAAAAAAAAACAATAATAACCATAAATGATGGTGATGATAATTTCTCCTGGGGCATTAATAACACATCATGTCTAGGTAAGCATTAGGTAAGCCTGAATCCATCTATTTATCTACTTTACCACTGGTGTACCTACCTGAAGGCAGCCCCCGCAATCATATAGCCATAAACCGGCGCCGACACGGGTTGATAGCAGACGTTGGGGTACAAAGAGGTGATTACAGTGCCAACCAACACGGCGCTGAAGTTGGTGATCCCTGAAGAAATGGCTGCATCCGGTTGCCTGAATATCTGCGGTAATAACGGTGGAAATAAACCACAGAACAAGCACAAAATACAAAAACGATGCTTGTTTGTTTTTTCCTTTTTCTTTTTTTCTTTTCTGGTTCTGTTGGGAAATGAGAGTGAAAGGAGCTACAGTTAATGACCCCAGCTGTCGGAATTTGTGACTTTTCATTACGTGTATAAAACTAATTGGATAGTACTGATTGTTGTTTGGACAGCCTAGTACTCCTAGGTAATAGTTTCATTCATTACGAATCGAACCTGTGTGCATTCTTTTAGTCTGTTTAACTTGGTTCAATACTCTACGTTTGGACATGTAAGCTAGTTAAAAAGTTTGTGACAAATTGAAAAAGATGAATACGAAATAATTTCTCCGTCTACCTATTTTCTGTACTGCAGATTGGTAATGATAATATTCTGCATCATAAAAAAGTGCATTGACACTAACATTTTATTTACTTTCAAGTGACTAATATACTGTATATGTGTTTAGTGAACGGACTATGAAACAGTTTCTCAGAGGAAAAATAAAAATGTTGGTAATTTTTGGTTCAACGACAAAATTAGGAACAGTCACCAGATATTACATCAAGACAAAAAGGCATGCATAAAAAGACACATTTCATCTGCCCATTCATCCATGCAACTATCTATCTGGTAATGTATATACATATAAAAGTAAAAGCAGCAACAGAAAAAGAAATCGATTTAAATACTTTTGACTGGTATCTCGTCGACTTTCTTTTTTTCCGATTTTTAAATGTATTTTCCCTTTTTTTCAACTAGTCGAATTTTCGCTGCTTTTCTATTTGGTAAAGAATTGTAATTACAGTACTAGCGTAAACACATGCGCGATAAAAGTATTCGGAACTCAATAACCAGGTGTAAAAATAACATAAAAAAAAACATCTTAATCACCACTCAAGCATGCTCTCCAACATGCATTTTTACGCAGACTCTCTCGCGCACGCTAATTTGTTTACATCGGGTTCTCACAGCATTAGGGCCCAAATGGTCACCAAATAGCCACGTGCTCCGATAATGACACACTAACGATTCCCTAACATGGCCCAGGTGCGTCATATTGGTGAGATGAACACGTGCTTCCTGTCACATGGAAATAGAAAGTGCTAGATTTAATTTATTTACTTATTTTTTTTTTTTTTTTTTTTTTTAGTATGAATTAAAATGACACCAGAATGGCATGGATATCTTGCGATAAATCCTAGACTGACAAAAAGAAAACAAACAAACCCAAAAGTGTTCTCTTAACTCCATAAAACGGCTGCTAGGTATTTATGGGGAGAACTTAATCTTTTCCACAATTCAGTCTCTAGGAGCCGCACCATCATGAATAATGGAATGCTGTAACAAGGTCTGTCCCTCCACACAGATACACCATAGTAATGCCAATGGGTATGGGAAAAGGCATAAACAAATATACCTACGGATGGTATGGGCATCGGCATCACCATCATCACCACCACCACCATCATGACCATCACTATCACCATCACCACCATTATCACATCACCACCACCACCATCATCATCATCATCATCATCATCATCATCATCATCATCATCATCATCATTATCATCATCATCATCATCATCAATATCACCACCACCACCATCTTCATCCCCATCACAATGACAATATTAAAGACAATAGTAATAATAACGAATCGTAATTATCATCACTACTAATATTACCGCAACTGTGAAGACTTTATAATGCCGACTCATTTTCTCATTGCTTAACTGGCTTGTCACCGAACTTGAAATATACTGTGATTGAAACATAAAAGACTGATCTGTGGACTGAAGACGATAGATTAACATTCGCCTATAGCAAAGCCCGGTGGACTGTCCTTATGCCTGTCATGATTTACGTTGTCACCGCTTCACTATTTATTTGTTTTCCTTATTAATGTCATTATTATTATTGTTATCATTATTATTACAACAACTATAATAATGATAACAATAATGACAACAGTGACGATGATGATGATATCTATAATGATAACGATATCAATAATGATAATGATAATGTTAACGATAATGGTAATAACAATGATAATGATGACAATACTAAGATTAATCCTAATGATAAATATAATTGTTATCATTATGACTTTGGTATAATACAATACTTACTACTGCTGCTACTATTAATAATAACAGTAACAAATAACACAAAAACCATAAAATTTACGCACACACACAAATATCGAATTTTCAGTTCTTCAAGGTGTTATACATGATAAGATATCACAAACGCCCGAGTGATTATACTTCTTGAATCGGGAACCCCCCACAAAATTTATTTACTAATTCTTTATAGATAAAAGGAGCAATGTTGGGCAATGCTGAAATTCTTAGATTTTTAATTTATACGGCTGCGTGAGAGATATGTAGATGAGAAGCCGCAAGCCAGAGAGAGGGAAAAAAGGGAAAAGTTTCGCATACACACAAAATAACAACAACGATAATAATAATAATAATAATAATAATAATAATAATAATAATAATTTAAAAAATCCTTGACGCGGATCATGATCCGGATCATCACCAAAATTTAATAGCATCTAAGTTGGGCTAAAGTTGAGCTAAGACACACTTCTGGTAAACATTTAATAAAAATCTGTTCATAACTTTTTGAGTTATTTTGCTAACAAACAGACAAACAAGCAAAGAAACTAACTAACCAACCACCGCTACGAAAAAACGCAACCTCCTTGGCAGAGGT